AGATGATCTACATGCTGGTGGTAGTGTGCCAAAGAGTTGGTTCCGACTCATAGCGACTCTGTATAGGGTTTCCGAGGCTATAAATCTTTACAGGAGCAGAAAGCCTCATCTTTCTCCTGTGGTTTGGCTGGTGGTTTCACACTGTTGATCTTGAGATTAGCAGCCCAACTCGTAACCACTATGCCACAATTCTGTATGTTGAAAATCCCAAATAAGGTAAACAATACCATTTAAGAGACGCCATCCAAAGGATGAAATATTTAGGAATAATTGAAGACTAAGGTATGCCTGCAGTCCTGGTGTGGGACTATGGGTTAATGCACCCGACTGCAAAGCCATTGAACTGCAAGGTTGGCGGTTCAAGTTTAACAGCTGCTCCTCAGAAACCCTACACAGGGTTGCTATGAGTTGGGTTCCAACTCAAGGGCACTTAATAACAAAGGTATGCCTGGCTCAAGCCATAGTATTTTTAGTTGCCTCATGCATACAAAATGTGCACTGAAGAATTGATTTCTTTAAACTATGGTGTTGGCACAGAATATTAAATATACCACATTGTTAAATTAGATCCAAGGATTCTGACTCATACCAACACTGTATAGGGTTTCAGAGATGTAACTGGTCGGTTCAAACCAACCTTATAATTAAGTGCTTATCCTACAGTGCTACTGTTAAGTGCCACTGAATCAGTTTCCAACCCATAGTGACCCTGTAAGGGTTTCCAAGGAGGAGCTGGTGACCTTGAACCACACAGTCTTCCTGGTTCAAAGTGGACTTTGCAGTCCGGAACATTAACCAATGTCACACCAGGACATACCAGGGCTCAAATGCACCATGATTGACGGAAGAACAAATAGATCTACACTGAAAGCAGCATAGTCAGAATGCTTTTTAAACAAGGATAATGAGACTTTGTATTGTGTACTTTGGAAGGACATAATGACTGGCAGATGATTAGGTCAAAGGAGGAAGATCAATAAAATGGATTGGATACAGTGGATATAAGAATGTCTCAAACATAGCAGGACCAGGCCATATCTTGTTGTATTGTACATAAGGTTTCTGAGCATGAAGTGACTCGACAGCACTTAATACTATGGACTATAATGTCTAATATGTTAAATGTCATCAAGTCAGTTCTAATTTACAGCCAATTGTGTAGGGATTCTGAGGAACACCTGGTGGTACCAACCTTGTGGTTCACATCAGTGCTGATCCTTTAGTGCACTATCAAGAGCCCAATGTTTGGAAAATAATTTCTATGTACAGCAATCTCATCTCTTTAAGTCCTCAAAACAATTTATAGCATGTTTATCTTTCAGGCTCTTAAGTGCTATGAGTTGATTTTGACTCAGAGTAAACCTGTATAGGGCTTACAAGGAGCAGCTAGTGAGTTTGAACCACTGACCTTGTGGTTTAGTGCTTTATTCCAGTGCCACACCCAGGATTCTTTCAGGTGGATAGGTAAATTAACTTTTTCATTAGATATACTTTGTTTTGAGTATGTTTTTATTTATTTTTTAAATCAATAAACAAAAATTATTTTAAATCATAATTGGATTTTAAACATAAAATTCACAATTTTCTAGTATTAGAATTGGTATTAATGAAAAGAAATACTTAGAGATAATGGTAAAGTCAGGTTACTTAGAGTTATGGAAACAGCCACCAAATGACACAAAAACAAGGGAATTAGGTGAGGGATTAGCAGGCTTTGACTTTGATTAGTTTCTTATATGCAGTGCAAGTTTTAAATGCCTTCACCATTTCCAAAAGTCACATTAATAAAGTAAAAGCCAGGTACATAAAACAAAAACCAAATATATGAAAGTCATAAGCAAAAATATACACTAGTTGGGTTCACTAATAAACTGAAAGCAGTTTTTTCTTTTTTTTTTAAGCAGGAGGAAGATGAGGCTTTCTGCTCCCGTCAAGATTTACAGCCTCGGAAACCCTGTACAGG